GCCCCCCGCGCCCCCCCCTCCCCACCTTGACGGTGCAGTCCTTGGAGCAGGAGGCGAAGAGGAGGCCGCTGTGGGCGAAGCTGAGGTGGAGGACCGGCTCCCCGTGCTCCCGCAGGCTCTGCACCTCCACGCGCGGGACGGCCTCGCCCAGGCGCTGGAACTCGCCGTACCAGGAGGCGGCAGCTGCGGCGGAAAACGGAGAGCGGCTCCCGAGGCTGCGCGGCCTTCGCCGGCCCCCCCGGGCCCTTCCCCCTCCCCGGGCCCCGTCCCCGCCGTCCACCTGGGTGCCGCGGGACGTGGCGGGCGACGCCGTAGTGCCGGTAGAAGAGCCCCTTCCACAGGACCTCGTCCCGGGCCACCCGGCGCCACTGCCGGCACACCCGGCCCGCCGCCAGGACGCCCGCGGGCGGCAGGTGCCGGAAGATCTCGACCAGGAGGCTGTCGGGGAGCATGGCCGCATCCTGCCCGGCGGGCCGCCCCGACCACGGAGGCTCCCGCCGAGAGCGGCCCCTTCCCGGCCGCGCACGCCCTTCCGGAAGAGCGCCGGCACTTCCGCCAACGGAAGCCGAAGAGGGCCGAGATCCTGCTCCACGCTCTTCCCCGCCCCCCCTCCGTCCCCTCCGCCACGCTCGACGAATCGAGGCCGGAGCGGCTGGCGGAGGAATTCTGGGAGTTGGAGTCCACACCGTTAAAGTTGGTTAAGCTCGTTGGGCGTGGGAGCGGACTGGGGGCTGCAGGCGGGTGGCAGCATCTGGGAGGACATACCGTTCTTGAAGGACCCCCCCAAGAACCAACCAAGGGGACACTTGGGCCATGCCAGCCCAGATGCCACTCGGAGAGCTGGCAAGCAGCGTTGCAGAGGCCCCACTTGGAATTCCTCTTATTAAGAATAGAATTCTTTATTGGCCAAGTGTGGTTGGACACCCAAGGAATTTGTCTTGGTGCAAATGTTCTCAGTGTCCATAAAAGAAAAGATGCATTTGTCAAGAGCCAAGAATCATAAGGTACAACACTTAATAATAGTCCTAGGGTACAATAAGAATAGAATAGAAAATAGAATAGAATATAGAATAAAACAGAACAGAATAGAATAGAATAGAATAGAATACTTTATTGGCCAAGTGTGATTGGACACACAAGGAATTTGTCTTGGTGCAAATGCTCTCATTGACATAAAAGAAAAGATACATTCGTCAAGAGTCAAGAATCATCAGGGACAGCACTTAATAATAGTCATAGGGTACAAATAAGCAATCAAAATACTAGGAAACAGTCAATATAAATCGTAAGGATACAAGCGACAAAGTTACAATCATATAGTCACAAGTGGGAGGGGATGGGTGATAAGGAGTGATGAGATTAATAGTAATAGTAGTGCAGACTTTGTAAATAGTAGGACAGTATTGAAGGAGTTATTTGTTTAGCAGAGTGATGGCGTTCGGGAAAAAACTGTTATTGTTTCTAGTTGTTCTGGTGTGCAGTGCTCTATAGCGTCGTTTTGAGCGAAGGAGTTGAAAACAGTTTATGTCTGGGGTGTGAGAGGTCTGTAAATATTTTCACAGCCCCCTTTTTGACTCGTGCAGGATACAGGTCCTCGATGGAAGGCAGGTTGGTAGTAATTGCTATTTTCTGCAGTCCTAATTACTCTCTGGAGTCTGTGTCTGTCCTGTTGGGTTGCAGAACCAAACCAGGCAGTGATAGAGGTGCAGATGACAGACTCAATCATTCCTCTGTAGAACTGGATCAGCAGCTCCTTGAGCAGTTTGAGCTTCCTGAGTTGGC